CAAGCTCTTCTTTTTCAAGAGTGGGAAAGCTCGTGCTGGTCATTGCCTCCCCTTTCGAGTTGTGTCAAGGACGGCTTTCCAAACAATGCTTGGGTCAACTAGTGTCTCATTAACATTGTGTTGTATCAGGGTGTCACTGCATCCTCGGCTCGGTTCGTCAGCAATGTTCGATTCGGTTGGCACCCTTGCAAACCATGCATTCCATTTCAGATCAAATTCCATTTGTATGATTGCACTGAGTATTGGGTCCGCGTTTGAGCTTCCAGTGAAGCATGCGATCAAACAATCTTTAACACCTTCATTGTCGGTGTAGACAACAACTTGGCTGTTTTCCAGGACTTGCTTCCAAGTAAACATTGCAACAAAAATGGAGAGAAGCTCACATTCAAAGATCACTGTCTTGCGTCCAGCGGGGTTCACCTTCTCTAGCTGTGCTGATGTCAGTGTCGTCGAGAAGAAACTTAGCTTCTTTCCATACTGGTCAGCCAGTACAGCTCCTAAGCCAGCTATGGGGGAGCCATCTTTCTGTTCATACGAGGCATCCGTAAACAGGAGAAACAGAGCCTGCTGTGCAACAGAATCTCTCGGGGCACGTCGATCTGTAGGAGTCGCACAAAAAGTTGTAGGGCATGCACCGAGTCGTGGGACAGCTCTGTTCCACCATTACCATAGGCATGTTGAGTGATAATCGCAAGTGCTTTCTTTGCTATGCGCCCATAAATTTGTCCTGACGCGAATTGTAGGCGGCCTCTCAGCCTCAAAGCGTCTTGTCTGTTGAGAGTACCGTGTTCCAGGACCTGTTCAAGCACATGGATCAACTCCGTCTTACGACTTTTAGTGTTGTCGATCAAAACACGACCACTGTGCATGCAAGCGACGTCGAGCTGAACTCCAAGGGCGGTGACTAGGCTCCCAAATGGGGGAGCTTTGTCACCCGTCTCTGCAAAGTCCCATCCAAGCATCTTGAATGTCATTGTCACAGCGGATGTAACTGACTCGGCTTCAGGTCGTTCTGCCAATGCAATAAAATCATCGAAATAGTTTGAAATGCACACGCCAAAAACAGAGACCAAGATCGCCCACAAACTGTGGGCAATCCTGAGAAAAGCATGCGCCGATCTGACGCTGCCAAATGGCAACGCCAACATCTTGAAGCATTTGACTGAACGGGAGCTTGGGTCGGCGACAGCGATGTAGCTGTAACAGTGCTGGTCCGGGTCCACAGCACACTGGCGGTATGCCCGCTTCAAGTCGAAACTCCTAACAAGCCAGGGTTCACTTCTGGTCAACTTGGTCATGACTGCAAGGCACATGCTGCACAATACATCCACTGTATGGGGTTTTGGCGACTCGCTAGTTTGTGCACACGCGTTCACAGAAGATTGACTGAAGTCATCAACACATCTGATCTTGTTTGACTGTCTCACGCCGAATCTCTTGCTAAGCGGGTAACTAGGCTGTATCTCTGTGATATCAAACGGCCCTTGAATCTCACCAGCATCGCGCTCAGCCAAGGTTTGCTCCCACACCGAACTAATCACATCTTGGTCCATGAAGCTGAATGCCTCATAGGTGATGAGAGGTCTCTGGCTTTCCGACACCTGGGACAGATCATGCGGTGTCATAGATGCCGGAGTAAATTTGAAAGGCCAAAGGGATGTTCGTTCGGCTTCTCCAACAAGCTGAGTGCCAGTGTAGAATTCTGTCACTACACCCATATCCTCATAGTTTATGGATTGTAGCATTTCTTGCCAAAGCAGGATGCGTTTCGACTTGAGGATCTTCCTCACGTCGGGGTGCAAGGTCTGTTTGAAGTCGGCTTCCTGAGAACGTAGCTGATGTGCCCTCTTCAAGAAAAACGCCAACTTCTCAAGCCTCATGCGGTTGCGCTGTTCTGCACTCATGAATGACTGTTGATCAATCATGACCTCCAATCTCTTTGGAAGAAAGCTTCCCATGGCCAAGGAGTGCCCTGCTTTCACGGCTTCCTCAAAGAACTCCTCTGGCGCCCAAGGGATGCCCCATAGCTGAGTTGCGCTATCCTCACTATTGTCACCCAGCGACAAAACAGCTGGAGGCGGGTCGTCCTCCCCCCGCGGATCAAGAACGGCTCCAGGTATGATAGCTAGAAGCTTAGATCCCTTATCCAGTGTCTGGACCGGATTGGAGGTGAGCTGCAAAGGCGCACGGAGTCGCTGAAACAACCTTGCTTCGGGGAGTGCAGTGGGATCCCCTCGAAGTCGGACTTTCGACTTGTAGGTCCGGATCAACGCGGGAATTCGGCTTGCTTTGGATTGCATGCCAACTGTGGCCCTCATTTTCTGCAGCGCTTGCAAGGATATGGGTTGCACTGCGTCTAACGTCTCTGCATTTGCACTTATCCCAAATCGCATCAACGATCTAACAATGACCATTCCGATCATCTTGGCGAGGCCCATCGGATATGCCGTTTCTTCAGCTGTTGCGAAGCGTTTCTTGTGTCTGTCGTAGCCCCACCTCGCATGCTTATGAGAGCTGCTTTGTCCCTTGCATGTTGCATTAATTGCATGAAATTCCGGAACATTGAACGCCAGCATAGTCTTCTTCTGACGTGCACTACCATACTGACATGAATGAAAAACTGTATATTGCATGAGATGTGCTACCTGCTGCCAAAAGGTCGTCGCCCAGAAGTGACTGAACTGTGGATTTTCCACACAAACAATGACCCCTGTTTCAACGGCCCATTCGACAACCTGTGCGGTAAGAAAATATAACTTGTTTGCTAACGACACTCTCAGATTATCTGTATCAGACAGCTGAGGCAAGCCGTTCGGGAACTGATCACTGCGAAGGGGTCGAGGTCCATGGCTTTGTCGCAAGATACCTTGGCGTGTCCTCTTCAGCGGAATTTGCCTCGCCCTGGAGGCAGTACCACAGGGTGGTGCCAAGAAAACTGCAATGACTTTGTCATTTGCAAGCCATGACCACAACAATGAAATACCCTCAGGTGTATTGAGGTCTGCCTGGATCACAGGTCCAGCTGCATGTTTGCTCCGAACGTGATCCACACCAAAACTGCTGCCCATTCCAAGTTGTCTAAGACATGCAGTAACACGGCAGCTTCCTGCAAAAATTTCCAGTGAGAAACAGTCCGCAAGCCGGTACCCCTTCTCAACTGCTCTCTGAATTCTAGGAAATAGTCACGAGGTCTTCGCCCCGGGGTTGTCCTTGGGCTTTGCTGGATGTTCGCTTTCAGGATGTGGGGCATGACATCCCTTTCTCATACATAAATGAAAGCCTCGGCCGCATTGACCTCCGGCAGGTGCACCTGAACAACGACCGAGGTTGAAGTCGAAGCAAAGCCTCCGACCATGAGGATCGGTTGACACATTGTCCCGACCCTGCAACTCACGCGGAACCATCGATGAGTTTCTCCCTTGCCCTTTTCCTTTGCCCTTTTTCCCTTTCCCTTTCGACTTGCTGTAAGGGTGAAAGGCTTCAGCATGCTGATGACCCCAACTGTTGTAGCTTGATGTGGCTTCAACACGCTTTGTCTCAACCTTGATCTCCTGCTTCTTGGGCAAAGGCATAAGGCAGAACCCAACTTCATACGATGACATAGCCTCAAAGACTGCAGTGTCCATCTCTAATGTGTTATCCGGCAGGCGCCTTACTGAGACATCCTTCTGGATCACGCGCATGAATGTTTCTCGATCTGCTTTCAGTACCTGTTGCAATGTGGTCTTGTTGTAGCCTTCAGGAGCGTCATTCCTCAGGTGCTGCATGAGGCGTTGAAGATATCGCTCGTGGCACTCCCATGTCAAAGTGTCACTGAAGGCTAACGCTATTCCTCTGCGTCTCAGGGCCTCAAAGACCTGCATCTCGGAAGACACCTGCTGGTCAGGTACCGTCTGCTCACCTTTCACGAGGAGCTTGTCAACATCGATCGAGAGTTGCCTTGAAGTCTTCCCCATAGTCACCTCCCACTCACGACTGGTGCACTTCTCTGGAGAGATGTATGTCAACTGCTTTGATTCCCACTGCTGTGAGACAATGTCAAGGAGGTGATGACTGGGTTCTAATGATTTCTCGATCACAACACCCACCAAGCGAGTGCGAAGGTTTCTCATTTTGACCTCACGCTCAACTGCAGGTAATTTCCTCGTGGCTCCGGCATCTGGATTTGATACCTGTTCACGTAACTGGGCCAGCAACATGGTCTGGCCTTCAAACACAAGGCGCTTGAGCGTGCTTACATCTGCTAGCGATGCCATAGCTCCAAGGACATTCAGGGAGAACCTATTGAACTCAGTCTCGACCATAGGCTGTCCAGGCTGGCCGCACGCGAAGGCCAGTTGGCCAAGATTTGTATATCCTGCATTGGTAAGTGCTGTGAGGCCTCTATCTGAGAGTCCTGTCTCGGTGCACCGTTTTCGGAAGTGAGCTTCCGACTCGACGATCGAGGTCATGGCAACTAAGCTCACGGCGCACAACCCTGAGTGCCCAAGGTTCAAACAAAAAGTTCACGACATCCAACACTGCTTCACAAAGAAAAATCAGCTCAAAGAACTAAAACTCATGACACATGCCATGTGCACCTACAGGCTTGACGGCCCCAGATGTCCACAACATTCGTAGACCATTTCATTAGTTGGCATCCCACATTGCTGTGAGCCGACATACTTTTAGTGCGCACAGAGCACCTCATCCCTGTTGCCACATGGCAAACTGTCAAGACAAACTTGACTCTTCCTGCACATGCAGGTAATCCCAACATAGGGGCATCACTTACATCGAGTGCCAACATAGGCAGTCACATTCCAGGGGGATACAAACACTTGTCTCAGGCTCACATGTCAAATTTTAATTTCGACAGTCTCAGCTCACATGACATCAAAACTAAGTGTGGGATCACACGGGGTTTCACTTTTGTCACATCTAAGGGCGAAGCGATCAGTTGAAGCGTCCTGATGGGTCTCTCAGACCCCTGAAACAAATCCTACATTTGTAGGTCCAATCGCTTATGGATCTAATGACACAGAAATTCGAATTCGTCAGTCTTCCACATTTCGTTGCACTGTCACGCAGCAGCTCTAAGTTCCCGGCTTCTGAATCTGACACTCTGTCGGCTGCATCGGCTACCGCATGGATGACTCTGGATTTCTTGTTCTGAACCCAGGCGTGGACACCACCTTCTTCTGAATGAAGTTCCTCATACAGAACGGGATCGGATGCGTGTTCACTTTCCTGACTTGTCTCGGCAAAATCATCACCTGCGGTGGAAGTCTCCGAGCTTGATGAAACAAGGTCGATCCCTTCGTTCGGGAGGTCAGCAGGCACGACCTCCTGCTTGACATCTGTATCTGGTCCTGTCTCCTCGCGCTCTGCAGTGACGACTGCAGGTGTAGGCGGAGCACGCAGAAATCCTGGTGTTGATGGCTGGAAGATCGGTGCTCCTGACAAATCCGATGATCTTGCTGCAAAGAAATCTGATCTTCCTTTGTCTGGAAAGAACTCCTCATTGCGGATCATCCGAATGACTTTCCCAAGTGACCTGACCGGCTCAACCATCAGGTCGGTGGCATAGATGCTGTCTGAGTCCTGAACGGCACTAGCATGGCGCCCCAGCAATCTGCGATGATCTCTGTTGACACCAGCCTTGGCTGCCCAGCTCAAAGCCGTCCTCTTCAACGAGTGCGACCTCAAATCATGGTCATTGCAGTTTAGCAATGTCCTGAGAATTTTTGTTGTCTCTGCGCACGACAAATGCCTCTTTGCCCAACGGTCAGGTTTCACTAGGTCAGGCGCCGGCATGACCGCTCCGTCAATGATTCCAGACGTTGGCAATTTCGACTTCTTTCGCAGCGTCAGCCACATGTCCAGCCAAGGCTCAGGGCCTACCGACTCTCCACATGCAATGATTGGCATGAGCATCGATTTCGCCTCGACAGATCTGGCCGCCTTGTGGTACCTGGTTGTGAACTGGATGAACCCACCAAAACTCTCCGGAGACCCTCGCTCGGAGTGATCATGTGAGATATCGTGCGCAAACGCCAAGTCACTGTTTCGGCTCCGTGTATACACCATCAGAACTAAATGGCTGCAGATCACTCGTTCATGAAGAGGCCGCTTTGCATCAGACATGATGCGGGACAACTTCTGCACCTCCTCGACGGTCAAGGGCCGAGCTTGTTGCGTGGGTCTCTTCATCGCAGCCTGCAGTTCCGACTGGCCAATCAGTCTGCGACTTGCCACACACTCCTGCGCTCCGTCGACCTGCAGCACATGAAGACAGAATCTGAGGGTTTGCACAAATGAAGTTGCTCTGGTGGGGGCCGCTCCCTCATTTTTGAGTTGCACGAAATAATCCCAAACCAAACTTTCTTGCAAAGGGAAGGCCGGTTCATCACTAAAGCTGGCCAGCCATCTTTGGAAAGCAAAAATTGCATTGCACCGCTTCACAATGGTTGAAGGGGACTTCGTCCCAATGATGGAATTGATCACATCGTCACAGTCAGATCGAAGCTGGCCCCCACCGTCAATGCACTGTCGACCAACTTCACTCGCAGACCAGTCAATCTCCAGAACGCAGCGCAACTTGGCCAGCGCTGACTTCATCGTCTTTGCTCTGGCCTGCAAGAAATCTAAGTCCGCTGCATTCCGAACGCACCTCAGTACACTAAAGTCCGCTTGAGCCTCGACCTGAGGAATCACTTCAGGGATGGGGTGTTGCAAAGGGTTGTCGAAGGAAACACTCCAGTTTGCAGGCATCGCCAAGTTGCCCAACAACACTTCCAAAGATTGGACTCATCAGCTCACTCTCCCAAGGCAGAACAATACTTGAGGCCACAATTCGATCTGCCATCGCCGAGGCCAATGACAAGGCATCGTCCACATTTGAGCTGACTGCAGGGAGTGTTGATGAAGGTGATGAAGACAAACAGCCATCATTTCCAAAACTATCTTTGTCGACAGGTTCCTGCGCTGTCCGTCTCTTCTTGGACCATTTCAATCTGAAGCCTCTGAGGTCTGCATCGCCGTCGAACTCATCGTCTGCATCGATCGGCGTATCATCAGCGACAGATGATGGCTTGGGAGAATGTCCGTCGGGCTCTTGACCCTGGTCTTCAAGGTCGACAATGAGGCTACTGAGGTTGTCAGGGACGTGCTCCCATGATCCAGAGGCTTGTGAGGCGGCGGGTTTGAGAGCATCCTCGCCCTCACCAAACATGGCTATCCATGGCACAATTCCCCCCGCCAGCGAAAAGATCCAAGAAAGAAACATGGTCATGTACATTGATCAAATGTCATCTATACTTCACATAAGAACTTCAACCTCTTGCAAGTTCCTGGAGCCAGACTCGGATGTTCATGAACAATCATTCACTGCAACCTTCATCTCTTAGATCGCATTCCTTCGGATAGCTCCATTCTTTAAAAGCTTCTGAAGAAAAAATGACGCTGTCCATGAGTGGAGCCTCGACGGTGGACAAAATAAAAAAGAACAACAACAACAACAACAACAAGGCAGTCCATGTTGCATAGCAGCCTTGCAGTAATTATGGCAAATGGAACTGCACTTGTAGCGTAGCTGCTTGCTGTAACAGCTTTCAGAAAACACTGCACGCCCAATTGCTGCCAGGGTGTGTTGATCCACAGCCATTTGGACAATCCACAAACATCTCTCCACTTCACGCTGTGGCCCAGCAGGCTCAGGCTACACGCACCGAGGCACAGGCTACACGTGCTCGGTGCACCCAGGGAAAACGTAAAAAATAAAGTGGCCCACTCTTTTTGGAAGCATCTGTGTGCGTGTACAGAATCTGTGCTGTACCTGTTGTTTCTTTTGAAAATCCTTGCAGACGTTGTGTACATCCAAAGCTCAGGGTATGTCGATACTTATACGTGAAGGTATGAAGGTAAAATCAAGGCGAGAAATGATGCGAAGGGGCCGATGACAGAGGCGTCCCTTACCTCTGTCATCCGGTGCACTAGCACTTGGAGCCAGGCTGCAAACAAAGCATTCAGCTAGAAAGTTGGAAAGTTGGGAAGTACATATCTTGCTGAACATATTCCTGTTGGCAAGAACTGGGGCAAGAACTGGGGGACCAGCTGTACTAAGGCTCAGTAGTCAAGTATGAGGCAAAACATTCTGACTCAACGTGTGCAAGAGTGTGTCTTTTGATTGCGAAAGCGCGGAACCACTTGCTATCCACAGCAAAGACGGTGGAATGTGACACAAGTTTCTCGGATGTACGCGTCCAAGGGGTGACACGACGAGATTCACCCTCCGAAGGGTTGTCTGTAGGGCTCTTTGGCATAGAAATCCAGGGCCATGGTCAGCACTGCCAGCAAGCCCGGCTTGGTCTCTTCCAACTCCTTTGGGAACACTTCAGATGGTTTGCACGTCGGCTGTGTACATCCATACGCATTGATGATCTTCCCAAGCATCATGGAACTCTGGCTGCTAAACTGCTGCACCGATTTTGCAACCTCTGGAGCAATGTCAGGTGCGCTAAGCAATGCTTTGGCCAAGTAGTCGTAGGCCTTCTTGTTGTTGATCGCATCCTGCAAGGAAAAGCCACAGTTCCCTGGTGCACCACACTTGAACATGGCATTGGCCTCCGTGAACTTCTTGTGGACCTGAGGATTGTAGACTAAGTATGACAAATCAGGCTGGTTGCCCAGATTCTTGAGCACTGTTGTCAGGGACTCGGTCACCTTCAACAGCGCTTGGTCGTTGAAGTTCTTCCGCATGTCCAGGGCAAAGGATGCCAGTTCTCGAGGGACCTTGATACCCGGAATCATTCCATATTCCATCGCGGGAAGCAGGTAGTTGGCGTTAACTCCTCCATGATACTTTCCAAAGGCAGTTTGCGCAAGCCACACAGCAGGAACCCCATTGAAGCATTCTGGAAGAAATTCAACACACAAGGGCTTGAAATCCTTGGTGATGGCATCAGCATCGCTGTAGCTCGTCGCAGCGTATTGGCGGTTCACAAAGAGGGGCTCGACCGGTGCACCTGTGAAGGATTCCTCCATCAGCTCCTGGCAAAGTTACAGCAGCGTAAGCCTGAACAACTAAAGCAGCAGCACCCTTGTTTGCAGGGGGTGGAGAGGCATGAGTGACAACAGCAGCAGCAAATCATGTCTGACAAAGCACATGACCATCATATATCGCCCAGAGTCCCGAGTTCTAGAGCCTGCAGGTGGGGGATCGAGACCGAACACCCAAAGGGCAAATCCTGCTGCAGATTGATGACACGAACATACTGCTGCCTCAAACCTTCATGATGCATAAACACTTCCATGATGTGGCTGCAAACCAACAAAAATAGAGGATCAGTGCAAATCACCATTCGGAGTGATCCATTCCCCTTCTAAACTATACCATCAACTGCAGGCTGGAGTCCCTCCGTATCTTCCTCCCCAGACCGCGGTCTCCTGGAGTCCCTCAGTGCTCTCAGTGCCCAAGACCGCCACGAAGTCATGGTCATTGATGCCCGGAGCTCCTAAGGGATCCATCGTCATCACCAATTTCACCATCTGAATCTGCACCGTGGGTCTCCTGGCCCAAGCCGTGAAGCCGATGGGATAGTTGTGACAGCTGCCCTTCCGTCCTTGCCAACCTCACGGAGTGTGGACGAACAACTTAGGTGAAAAGGAGCTGCCAAAGTGAAAGCAGTAGAGGTTGGGATCAAAAAAATGTTGGGATCGAAGCGTGCAACAAATGTTTTTTGGCGTTTTGAGGAAACCAAACCTGAACTCTGGCAGAACCTCCTTTTCCACTCCTCAGAGGTCTGGACATTTCCAATTCCTTCTTCACCGTCTGATAGGATGAGCAGCAAACTCCGTTTGATTGGATTGTCTTTGAAGTACTTTGCCAGAGATAGTACAGCTGCCACTGAACCACCATCGTCGTATGAATTGTCTGTCTCAAGGTTGCCTTCCTTTGCTGATGGCCCCTGGTTGTAAGGACCATCCAAATGAGCACCGAGTAGGATATACTCTTCTTTCAATTGTTCGTCACTTCCTGGCAGACCTGCGATCAGATTGGTAATTCCGCCAGGGCACTCATCATCTTTGGTCCCTGGAACTGTGTAGAGATAATCATTGCCCTGGCCCAAAGCCATCAATCCCATCGCCTTCATCTTACCTGCCAGAAGCTGCCGAGCATGCTCAATCCCTGCACTGCAAGAAATCCGAGGATTGGGTTTGCCATCATTGTTCGTCACTTCGTCCAAGATCGCACTCTCGGATTCAGGATTGGTCGCACGAAAGCTAGAATGCTCTCGCAGACTGTCTCCCAACCAGAAGTTTCCCAGCAAGTGCACAAACAATGCACATGGACGTGCCATGTGAATCATACTGAGCAAGGTACTAAAACACACCACGCAAAACTACATCGCTGAGCTACGTCGCTGAGCAAAATTCGCAGGGTAACACTTTTGCGGAATCATTGGATTAAAAACCAAGTCTATACCAAACAGCAAGCAGACATTCTCAGAGGTGGCCAACACAAGTTTTAGCACAGGGTTCTCAAAGGGTTTCGTTTAACACTGGGGCCTGGGGTCTGGGGGTAGACTCTTGTTCGCGACTCATTGTCGGAGCGTTCGCAACCTTCCGCGAGAACACATGTGGAAACGTGACATGTTGAAGTGTGGAGGGTGGTTTCACTGTGCAGGTGCAGCATTCAGTGAGATCTGCAATTACCTTTTCGCAGTCACATTGAGATTGATGTTTAGAGGGTGGTGTTTTTGGGGTGTTGGATGTGGCTGTGACATTTCAAAGCTGTGTTTTCGTGACAAGTCTCAGCTAAACTGGCGATGTTTGTGGGAGAAAGTGTGCTAAGAACGTATCGAAGTGTTCTTGACTAGAATTGACCTGGCTCAAAACGAAACCTCATCCTGCAGCAATAGGCCATAGGCATGCCTCTTGTCACAAGCAAATGAGCGTGCCTGGCGCGGCTGCTGCGGGTTAGTTTTCTGAGATCTGTCCACAACAGGTTTTCTGACCTGCCGATCACTTTCCAAAATATGGCAGGCAGGTGGGTCACCCAATCCACAGCCGTCCTGGCACAGTGCTCCTTCAAGGGATCGAGAAAAGTTATTTTTCTGGACACCAGTTTGGGGTCCAAAAACTCCAGCCAAAACCGGTCCCGCCACAGAGAGCTTCCCAGAACATCCAACAGACTTGCGCAAAGCCAACCTTTTCACGTTCACCCGACCAACAAGCGACAAGCAACCAACTTTTTTCCACGAGTGCGGACGCCATGTGGGCATGATGCCCAGGTCATCATTGAAGGAAGGGAAGTACAATCAGATGGTGGAGAAAAGGACAAAGACAACCCAACAACAAACCAAACAAAACCAACCACAGCCCACAGGCCGAGACTCCACCACCAAGTAGTATTTCCTCTGTACTAGGGTGAAACAAGTGAGACGATGACTGCTAACTATCTATGGGCCTGAATTCACGAAAGAAGAGCATGGCAGCGAGGGTTTGTGCTCTAGCAAAATCTCAACGAAGTCGTCAAATGGACTTCACATCACTATCACCAGTGACCAACGGCCACTGCACAGAGTGGCAAAAACCTGGTCACAATGCAAGTCCCGGGCATTGGTATGATCTACCGCAGGTCTGACCCTTGCCTAAGTGGATCAGTAGTTGCTATGCTGATCATGCCGTGGAAAAATCCTTTCTTGTAGCACAACCCTTGCAACTGGTTGCACAAACAAGTCAAGAGGCATAGTAGCGTTCAGGCAGTGGCGGCCATAGCAAACGACGAAAGCCTGCTGGTAAGGGTGCGAAAAGCATTCCCCCCCGAAGGGAGGTCATCTCTGCACCCTTCGGCACACAAAGGTGCCAAAACGGGGTGTGCCCTAACCTTGAGAAATGCTGTGTCATTGCAAAAGCATTGTCCTGTTGCGTGCAAGGCCCGTGTGAAACAGGTGAAACCGTGGACCTATCCTAGCATGGTACATGTGCCTCTTTGTACAAAATTGGTAATGTCGGACATCAACAGAGGGAACTAAGGTTCCCCCTGGGCATCCTCCATTGCCAGTCTCTACCACCCGCCTGTTGGGAACGAGGAGCTAAGGCTCTCATTCCTGTTGGCTCACTGTATCGTGGATGTCGAGAACAAGTTGGCGACTCTACTCAATGTTTGCACATTTCACTTGACGTAGCTTCCTGGCGGAGTGCTTATGCACCATTCCCGCCGCGAAAGCATTGCTGGCCTTTGGTGCAGGTTCTAGAAAGTCTTCTCTCCATAGATCATTGGCATCGGCCGGCAAAAATCGGAGCCATTTGGGCTGATCGAGTTGCTCACATTTGTCAAAGGCATTGGCCACCAATGGAGGCATCAGTGATTCCCCGATCACGTCCATCTCGACATTGGAAGTTGGCCACAAGATCCTGGTATGAACACAGGAAGCGTTAAGCATGACATGGCTCACCCTAACCATTGCATTACTTACACTTCCTAGAAATGACGATGCGTAGAGCGTGCAGTTCTTTGGGCTGAACCTGAGAAATGTTCCTCCTGGTTGTCTCAATTGGAGCACCACACTCTGTATATTTATCAATGCATTCGGTGGGTTTTGGATGGTTACATCATGACACGGACTAATACATGCGTCCAAAGCAGCGCAGCTTCGTCCATTCAGGCAGATCTGCACGCGTTGCACACTGCGCCAGGCAGGAACTCAGGTTTCAACCTGGAGTGCAGTATGCTTGGTTTGTACGTTGTTTGTCAAGACGAAATGCCTTATTGTTCTCTATCTACTTGGAATACA